AGAAGGACGGCTGTTTTCGCAGGCTAGTTGGGTGGCCAAAAGGTAAAAAAACTTGCGTCGACTTGTGCGCAAATTTGATCTCGACCAAAGTGAGCGCGAGTTATCGCAAGTCAACGGAAGTGCACGCTAGGCCTGGCTAGACGGAGTCGCAAGTAGTCCAAGTAGACCATGCAAGTTTTTAACTGCGTCTACTTGCGAGTCCATTTGGCCAGGGCTTACTGCCAGGGCAGTCCTACTTTTTACTTCTATCATTTACAAACTATTGTTTATTTGTCCCACCTCGACAATTGAAAACACAAATCGTTCAGCTGTGGAACTATCAGGCATTCCCTTCAAAGAGTTCAAAATCTGTACTCGCTCATTTTTGTACAGCTCTGAAAATCTTTCCACTAGTTTGAAAGAGCGCGACTGATACGGCACCACTTCATCAACATAAGGTTTCGTCACAAGACGAACGGGTTCGGGTTCCGTTGCAGTATCCAAGAGCTTCTTGTGTAACCTGGAAATTGATAAAATTACAAAGCTAGCCTGATCTGAAAACAAAAAGAGAGACCTTAAACTGGTCAATGCAAATCAGTGCCTTGCCTCCGCCGGCCTGTGCAGGCGAGGCCCCGATCATAACAAAGCAACTCCCACAACACATGCCAGTTTTAATACAGTTTAACATTTTACATTTCCGAAGTTTATGTTGCGAGAACAGGATTCCACCCACCACCCTTGATGCATTCCCTGGGTGGGAGGAACTCCCATATAAAAAGGAAGGGGGTACTCGTCGTACTTTATAGGGGTTAGAACGGCGGTTTTGGTACCTCTCGGAGCTAGGGTGTTCAGCCTCAAAAGGTCCACAGCGGAAGCTTCAGCAGCACCTTTTAGGGTATTGAGCCGAAAAAAAAATATGACAGAGGATAATGTGCAATTTTAGAATTTGTACCTCTTAGGGGCGAAAAAATGTTAAGCCACGCCCACAAATCAGAAGCTTGGTACCTCTTTGGGGTTCTTTTCAAAATTTCTTACGAGCATCCCCGTCCATTTTATATGGGGATGCCCCCCGGATGCTTTCATTCTCATGGTCTATACATCTGAATATCTACGTCGGCTATATTCAACAGCCCATCCCCCCCCCCCNCCAGTCACGTAACTGTTTAAATAATAATAATAAAAAAACAAAACAAACAAAACAAAACAAAACAAAACAGTCTGTTTACCTTCCATGTAGTTCGGAGTTTTCTCTCTTTAGCTCAAGAGTTTCTTTAGTCAGCTCTTTAATCTGGCATTCCCTAGCTACAAGTTCATTCTTAGCATGTGTTAACCTCAATTCACAAAGAAAGATAAATAACATGGACTATTAATAGGTTACAAAATGTTCCATATAAACCTTAAAGTTCAGTACCAGTTAAGCATCAGTATTTTTCAAGTTAAAAGTCGAAATATAATTCCCCTTACAGGAAGTGTATGGCAGACATATTAATAACGTTGAATCTGACTAAATGGCGGTACATTGAAATTCGAAACACAGTTAGATGATGTTGAGTAATGGTTCTCTTACTGCTTGACAACGTTGTCGGACAACGTATAGAAATTAAAGAAATAAGACAGTAAAATACCTAACGGTTATCGATCCTTTTTTCTGATAAGTATATTGAACCTCGTTTCCAAGTCTGGCAACGAGAACGAGGCTGTTTCTACTTCCGCACCTGTTTTTCAAAGAGCACGTGCTCAAGCTTCTGAGTTGCTAAGCAACTAATCGTGTACCAGCGTGACATGCATCTTTCAGCGTCACCGCTATATGAATCACTTCAAATGATTTTTGTTATTTATTTAGTTTTCTCATTTTCATCATACACTTACTTCTTCCCCAACTCGATGATTTCTTGGTAGTCTCCTTGTTGATTTTCTTTCAACTGTCGGCGCAAAGCCCTCATCTCGTCTTCTGCATCAGCTAATCTGACCAAATTCAATCAACAGAAGCAAACTCAAAGACATGCACTATACAATATTTATAACACATTTCCATCTGTTACGAAAAATTCCTTGAACCAATCTTTAGGCCCATTCAATCATCGTATTCTTTTTATTTATTTTTAGTTTTTCAACAAGCCAAATTATTTATGATTAAGTTACAAGTTACCGTCTGGTTTGCTCTGTTTATCGCTACCCATTAGTTAGTTTGTATTGTCCACAACACAGTTCCGCGAAACTTTACTCGTGGTAATGATATGATATGTTTTAACACAAACAAGGAAAACAGTGTCTAGCACGTAAGATTTGCTTTTTAGTGCTTTATATCATACAAGCTACATGTGTAAAAGACATTTTTCCGATGGATACTTACTTGATTTTTAACTCGGCCGCTTCCACCTTGGAGGCACTTAAGTCTTCATCCATTTTCTTCACAATCAGTTCGTATTTTTCCTTTATGACCTCTGCATCTTCCTTGTTGATTCTTGCAGTGAGGAACCCATTGCGAAGCCATGGCAAAAGTCGTTTCTTCAGCGCTTCGCTCCCGCCGTAAATCCCTCCTTCGGATGAACACAACTCCAAAAGGTGAAACAGCTGGCCTTGCAGTTTAGCATGTATCTCAATAAGCTCGCAACAAAATGCGGTGTTTTCTTCGCAACTGTTCCGATAGCTCGCGTCGAAAAAAGTTGTCAAATGCTCGTGCAAAGATTTAAATTCCCCAGTCGCGACCAAACGACTGAGAAACCCTACAAATGTTGTACTTGTCATCGTAAACAAACTGCGGGAGTGACTGATATTTCTGTTTGAAAATTGGACGTGGTGTTAATGAACTCTGTAAGCGATCTTATTCACAGAGATTTTGTTACAAGTTCAACGAGCGAATCACGCATTCTTTTCCGAGGTGAAAATGTGTCTTTGTTTCCTACTTCCCAGTTTAGAACTGGCTTAGCTGAAAGGGCCGAGTTTTTTTTTCGAACAATTCGCACCTTCGTTACAAAAGCTTCAACGAATGATTACAATCATGATCATAAAATTTCGCTCAAAAGATCTCTAATTACTTGTCTTCAACAGAAGGCTTACTACGGGCCCATATACACTATGAGATATTCAACGGCGGGTCAGATAATTAATTCTCTAAAACCAACAATATTTATTTTTGCACATGTTAAGCAGGCGCCCAAACACCTGCCAGTCTAACGGATAGTTTGTTGAGTAAAGACATGAGGGAATATCTAATTCAATAGACGTTAACTAGTTTCACCTGATCTTCTCTAACACCGTTACACAGAGAAATTGAATTTATTTTTGCCGAAACTGAAACTACAGAAATATTTTTAACACCAACATCTTCGAGCAAGAGAAACGCAGTTTCGTAACTGAACAGCAAATATTTGCCAGAATCGACTCGAAAATTGACTTGATGATAGTATGTCAGGAGATTGCAATAAGACATTGGAAATATCACATAGGATTCTGAAAACTTGAGGGAATGTTCAAAACTCACGGGAGGATTTTCTCCGCTACATATATAGCACTGATAAAACTATATATTATTATCACTAATGTCCCCCTAGACGAGTCATCCTTTATTGACTGACAAGTAGTTCTTCTGTGTGACAAATTTTACATTTCTTGACAACCTTCCCTTTGCTTGTATGTAGACTATATAAGCTAGCAAAAACACATATGAAAGCGTACATGTATTGCATTGCAGTTTAGTCCCGTGAAAAGGAACTGATTTGGCGTGTGACCTTATTGAACAAGCCAAGCTTAGTTTAATTTATAGTTACCTTTCAACAAGGTGACACGATAAAGGAAAACTTGTCATGTTAAATTTGTGCCTTCACCCAGACACGAGCAAACAAAATTTAACAAACTTGCAAGTGCTAAAAATTTCGTTCGTTATCAGATGTCTGCCGTTTATTAACACACAAGACCAAGCTATCATAGAGTAATTTCTTTGTGTACAGTGAAACCAGGGCAACTTGTTTCTTAGCAAGCTTCTTCGCCACCTTTCATAAACAGAACTTTGTAATATATAAATTCCTTGACTATAACGCCGACTTCAGAAGACCAATGGTTTGGAATTAGGAATTTTAAATAAGAAAAAACACTGAAGCCTTCATTTGCAAATTTAAAGCAAATCCCCAAAGACGAAAGTTTCATTTGGTCACTTGCATAAAGATCACAAGAATATAGCGTTCTCTGGCGTTTGTACACAAATCGTTGGGACCCCTCCCGTTCACACAACACCGGGGAAATTTGAAAACGCAGCTTTATTTCTAAGGTTAGGCCTACCGTCCACACTAATCCGTCACGAAAACGCTCTTCAAACCGGAGGAATTTGAAAACGCCGGCTTTGCGTTTCAGTGTTGGCGGAAAACATTTTTAAAACGAAGCTTTTCGAAAGCGATGACATGATTTCGTGACGTAAAAACACGGTTTTCAAATTTCTCCGACGTAGTGTGGAGAGTGTGGACGGGGCATTAGTGCCATACATTTCTTTTTTATGCTAACTCTGAGAATTTAGCCATAGATCAAGATAGGATTCCTTACTTGACAATTGTCTTAATTCTCATCGCCTCTGTTTGACAATGCGTCGATATTGTAAGGAGAAATTAGTTAATGATCACTAACAACATGACACTTCCTTCACCCGATGGAATTAAAAATATTCTTTTATTGTTAGCATTTATTCTACATGTGCCCTCCTGGGCAATCCACATTTTATATTCAAACGGTACAGCCCGACGTAAAAATGATTCTTTCAAGCTCAACAAATTGTCTTGACAACGTCTCTAACACACAAGTACAGTGATGTATAGTGGCTCGCCACAAATCATCTCTCTTCCCTTGTCTTGATCCACTTGGCACTGCAGCATTTTAGTAACAACACCCAACTGTTTGAATTAGGAGTGTCCGTATAAACATTCCGTGTGTGAACGAGTTAGCTCTTGTGAATATCAAACAGTTTAGCGATTTCATTCAAATCGTCTTGGTCTTTTCCTTCTTTGATGATCTACAACACGCAAATAAAACAGCTGATAAGCATAATATGAAATGGTTAACAAACTCGGTATCAACCAGGGCCGGGTTGTTCGAAAGCCGGCTAACGCTAATCCAGGATTAAAAGTTAACCAAAGTAACAGTTTCTCTTCTACAGAAGCGTTTTTCACTGCTTATGTTTTGTGTAGTTTGACGGATTACTCAAGCTCAAAACTGAAGGACAAACAATATAAACAGAAAACCTCACTGAAAATGTACAAAACTGAAATCAAAATTCTCGCTAATCCTGGGTTAGCTTAATCGGGCTTTGAACAACCCGGCCCGGATGATAAGTTCGATATTATACAGTTGACAAGCTCGATATAGCTTAGTTGATCAACCTCGTGCCCACGGGGTTTCTTCATCCCCGTCCTCCCCCACAAACACGAAGAGAGAAAAGTTATAAGTTAGATATATAATAGTCAGTTGATAAGCTCAGTATTGCACAGTTGATAAGAAGACCCAGGGTAATAAAATAAACGTACTGTTCACACATTACACTCATTAGCAAATCGATAACAGTGCTATGGAAACTGACCTTTCTAGCGATTGGCATTCTGTTGAAGACGTTCCACAAAACAACTCCTACAACCCGCTTGCCTTTCATGTAAAACACAACACCTTTACCAAACTCCTCTGATGACTCGGTCGCGGCCGGTGCAGGTGGCTCTGTAGGGACTGGAGAAGACTCTGCACCCTGAAATACAACCAATGGAGCAACAAGGTTTTTTTTTCATTTATAAAATAACTGAGATACAACACGGGTTCTACTTGGTCAACAGAGTTGCTAAACCTATGTTCTAATGTACCGGTAAACACACGGTTCCTGGCGGATAGACAGCTCTACGCGAGAACTACAGAACTCAGAACACCAGCGATAACAACTAGTAAATCACTCGCCTAACGGCTTTTACTTTACAACTGGCTTTTCTTGTGTTCTCCCAACATCCCGCGTGGTTTATTGCGCCAGTAAATCCATAGAAAGTGTGGTTTATTGCTTACATATCATAATATATCTTGAAGATGAAACTTTGCAACCAGCTAACTGTTTTAACACGATGATGCAACCCAGGAGTTGCCGTTATGGAGTGTAAATCAGCCTTCGAAACTTGCTGGAAACGATGGTTGATTTTACCCTTATGAATCTAAAGATGATTATTGCGTGTTACTGTAAGTGTCCAATGGTCATTTCCTAAAGCTGAAATGCTGCAGTTATCAAAAAAAGGTTTGTTCAATGACATGGGAAATCGTTTTCAGGAATCTGGAACCCTTCGAGTGTTACCGGAGGATGTCCCCAACCCCGAGTAACTTACCTCTCCTTCTGTTTCCGAGCGCATTCCTTCCCCAGTAGCCTCTACCACAGCTTTAGGCGTGTCAGCTTTAGTTGCCTTGGCCCATACTCCCACGGTCGGGAGCATAGAATCGACTAGCCCGATAGCCTCATATCCAACATTAGGACCCAGATCACTCCTGCCAAAAAAAAAACATCGATCAAGACTACTGGGTACTAAAAAAAGTCCAGCTAGAGAACTGTCAAGAGATAAAATTCTTGCGAGTAATGCTTCTGTCCCTAGATGGGATGCTAGTCGAGGTTACCCCCCCCCCCCCCCC